TCGGAACCTTGATGTGCACCACCACAGTTAGCGCATTTTATCGCCACGGCTCCATCCGCAGGGCAGTTGGAAGTGGCGTGTTCTTGAGCGCAGTTGCTGCAGCGTGGCTTGATGTTGCAGTTGCGGGTACCGTGTCCAAAATTGAGGCACCTCATACACTGCGTTACGTCACGATGGCCGCCACGGTATGGCTCCCACCGTACGATGATGGAGCAGATTGATCGGATGGCTTGAAGCGCATTGAGCGTCACCGTCCCTTTCTGGAAGTGCACCAGGAAAAGACAATCCGGGTACGTCTTCACGTTTTCGTCTCTCCTTGTCATTCGGAAGACAGCGATTGGGGCAAGCTTGTACCGGTTGATTTCAGTTTCGACCATCTTGGGGTCGAAGTTTGGTAGACCCCTGATGACTACCTTGAAGGGCTTCTCACCGGGGATGTCGTGCGTGAAGAATTCCGCCTTGGTATCCTTCAGATATTTCACGGCCACTTCGTACTCCGCTTTTGTTCGGAGCATCACCTTGGTGCCGATCCTGCCGAGCTTAAACTCAGCTGCAACGCCCAGCGATGAAAGATCGCCAATCAGCGTGTTGAGTGGGACTTGCTTCACCACCAGTGGAGGAAGCTTCATTTTTGCTGCACTCGGGGTGGCAGCAGTTTCGTTGTCGACGGCGTCGCCGAAATCACCAATGACGCTGACGTTCGTCGCGGTGGCATCGTCCCGTCCACTCGCACCATCGGACTGGCCTTGATTTTTCTTCCTCTTCTTTGACCGCTTCACCGTGGCTGAGGTGGTATTCCCTACATCGGTGGGAAGAGTAGCGTACCTATTCGAAATAGGTACACTCAAGCTACCCTCACCGCTGTTCTTCTTCTCCGTTTTCTCTCGGAGCCTGCTCCGGGAGCGCTGTCTTCCCATCACACGAAGCGACCGACACTACTGACGACGCGATTAAACTGCGAATGTTTGGAACAAACTAGAAACTTTAGAACAACTCGACAGAGCGAGCAAAGACCGAACTGTACTGCTTGACGTTCAAGCAGAGAATCGATCTGATACCAGACAGCAGCGCTGCTTTATATCTTTTTAGGTTAAAGTAGAATGATGTGCAACCAAGTGGTATAAAAGCTACAAAGACTCCTCCCATTATGAGTAGTTTGCTATCAAGTAGCGACACTGGCTATTTTCTTTTTGCGTACACGGCGAATGAGAACAACCCAAATTTGAGATTAGTTCACTCATAATCGCCAAAAGTGTAGGAACTCAGCGATGAGTACATTTGTCTCATGGTTTCCTGTGGAAAACCTAAAAGATCTACCAGAAAATGAGGAAATTGACGAAAATTTTGTTCAGTCTCGGAGTAGTACCAATAGACTGAGTGAATCCAATCTTTACTTTTCTCAACTTCGGGAATTTTTCCCTGGAAAAACCTGGGAAAACATGAGGCAAATTTACTCATCGGTGAGTTCCTGCACTTTATTTCTTATTTCTGAGATAACTAAACTCAAATTTGGGTCGTTCTTATTCGCCGTGATAGATATCAGCGCCGGTGGTTAGCGTGATTACCTCTCACCCCAGCAGGCCTGGGTCCAATCTCAGTCGGCGCCACCGGCATGTTCTAAGGCATGACATCCCTGGGAGCTGCCTCCCTGGCGTCGGTAGCATTGGAGCTCAGTACGGAAAACAAATCTCGCGTCACTTTTCAATAGGTCCTATCTACATTGATCGATTCTCTTCATCGACACTCTCTTTCGTAAATAACTCGGCTTCACAAACCTGGATCAACAATAGAAAAGAGCCCATCAGCATTTGTAAACATACCGTTCCAAAGCCCTTTACTCACAAAGCGAAGGCCACCCACACAAACCAACACCATCATTGGATAGGGGAAAACTTCTACCTACAAGATGATGGTGTTGGTTTGTGTGAGCCGCCTTCGATTTGTGAGGCTTTGGAACGGTTTGTTTACAAATGCTGGATCAACAATAGAATAGGGCCCTTCTATTGTTGATCCAGAAATGTTTCCTGCCGTCTTCGTCGAATTAGATGCTAGATTGTTGCTTCTTCCATCGAAAATATCCGGCCGTGGCGATTCAAAGTTGATCAAGGTTGATCAAAATAATTTGTATCCCTGCTTCCAGTTTGATTACATGAGCATTTTGTGTGGTCGGTGGTTCTGAATATGGACAAACAGGCAGATGAATTCTATTCCTACTCTTTACTGTAAAAAGCTTGGTGGCCCTGAAAAGAGCCGTTTTGTTTCCAATGTTGGTGATGATTTAACCTCCAAAACCAAACAGAGTGCGTCTATGTCACATCAAAAACGTAGATGACATCCATGGCCGCTTACGCTTGGCGTGTTTAGTGTAGGTGACAGCATCACGGATCTCATTTTTCAGGAACACCTTCAGCACACCTCGTAAATCAAACCGGAGATACGTCAGACACCGCTACGGTGAGCCAGACGACGGATGGTAGTTATCTCGAAGAATTTGCGTTAGGTTCTGAATATGACGATGAGTGTGCAAAATATTACGCAATTCCATCCTCCCTATTCGCACGCGCCCGAGGATCGAAGGCGAATGCCACTTCGACTTGTTTCGTCTACTTACTACTCTCTGACGACTGTGCTGGGGAAGCAGCATATGCATGTAGGTAATTGGTGGATTTGTTAGTTAATTCGACGCTTTTGGACAATGCTGGACATTTACCAGTTTTTCAATAGTTTCTTGTTAAAAATCAACATTCGGAAGCATTGTTATCAATGCGTAGCTATATTTCTGATCGATTGGTGATAAAATTATTGAAATAGGACCAGGGGCAGCTGAGTTATAAACGTTCAAAATCTTTCTTAATTTGTTACATGTTCCATTTTCAGTTTTCACAAAGTGTACCCCCATATAGAAATCAAAGACGTAGTCCTACGTCAAAAGAGTTGTCGAATTATGTGCTGAAAAAGCTCATTGAGATCCATAGATGCACATTTGTTCAACTGTTTGCTCTGATCTGATTAATTTACTTATTAAAAGCCAGGTTAAAAGCTGTAAAAGTGTTAAATGTCTTCCCAATTCAACGCCAGAAGTTTGATCTAATAACAAACTGAATAAGTGTAATTTGTACATACATTGACACTTTAATTCGACTGTTTTCAATTGATTTAATAACATACTTTATTAGACGTCTAATAAATGTTCTCCAGCTCCTTTATTAGATTTCATTGCATTACTTTACAATATTGCTGAATGAAGGTGAATACAGTCAGCATAATAGCTATTATACCACTATGCGTCCATGTTGTAATCACATGATTTGTAAATGCTTTACAAACGACGTATTAGATTCATTATTCGACAACACTGATTCAATTTAACAACAAGGCGAAATCAGTAGAGTAGTGGTTACCGTTTCCGCTTTCCAATTAGAAGGTCGTGAGTTCAATCCCAAGCTTAACCATTTTTTTATTTGTGTTCTACATCTAATTAATTTAAATAGTAATCATCGATCACATGACTCACGATAATGAATGCATTTATCTAGTTCAAAAAATAACCTTCCTTGGGATTGGAGTGGTGAAGAGGTAACATTGGTCTCATGTTAAACAACGATGAATGAATTGATCATTCCCACAGGGCCTTGAAGGAGCTAGAGTTGCGATCGGGAGTGCTGATAGGTATTTACTTTCATGCAAGCTTTTATTGATTATTGAGTTGCCCATATGATGAATTCTAGGATAGCTCAGATGACAAGGCAAGCGGCTGGTGATCGGAAGGTACATGGTTCGAATCCCATACAACGACATGTATAAGTATTTATAAATTTATTAATCTGTGTGGTGCGAGCAACGTCAGAAATAATGGATACAATTACACTTAAGAAACACAACCTTCCTTTCCCTCTCTGTCCCCCGTCCCCTCTTATTTTCGGGTTAATTTTCCCACAGTTGAATAATCGTTTAATAATGTCTAATTAAACGTTACTTCACATGAGAATCAAGCGTATACAGAGCATCACTGTTTAAAAAGGAAGCAGTGATGTCTAATAAACGCTGTATAATCAAAAAAATTATCGTATGAACTCTGTTACAACTCATATAAGTCGAATAAAAGCTTCTCGACATACCTTATACAATACCAAAGTAGTTCAATGTTGTGGTTGAATAACTTCTCCAGATTTGTGTTAACAAAGCCGGAACAGAAGTTGTTATTAAAAATAGTACAAGTACTATTAAGCATGCAGTTGAATAAAATGGCTAAGAAGTCGTTTCTTCAATAGACGATTGTTTGTTGGGTACCGAGCGTTCAGCAGATAAAAACTCGGTTTAAATCAAACCGAGTTCGGTATTATTTTCTAAGTGTGTAGATTGTTAATATCAGTATGGTTGACATTTCGAGTTCAAAGCCCCAGCACATCAACAACGATGTGCAATACAATCTAAAATGAAGTGATTTTCTGTTGATTTCATCGTGCTTCGAAATGATCTTCCAAGAGATCTGCATATCAAATTGCAATGTTTGACAAGTAGTTCAAATTCAACAGCAAATCACTTTACATTAACATGATGTTTTTTTTACCGTATAATACCAATTCAAGCTGAACATTGCATTAGGTCATAAGTAAAATTGGTCAATTCTCTTCGTCGACTTTCTCTTTCGTTAATCACCCCTATCCTGTATTTCGTTTCGAACGAAATTCTCATACAAAAAAATATTTTTTTGTATGAGAATTTCGTTCGAAACGAAATGCAGAATAGGGGTGAATATCTTGAGCACATAACCTTTTTTTTGTTGTGTTTGTTGTATTAGATGCTAGATAAAAGCTTCTTTTATCGATCTGTGTGCTGATAATACCTGGAAATGTCTTTACATGGTCGTGATGATACAAAGAGAATGTCGACGAAGAGAATCTGCCAATGTTACTTAGGACCTAATGCAATGTTTAGCTTGAATTGTTGACAAAAAATCCCCTCTTGTGCCATACCTGGATATACCTCTCATTGTTTGGTGTCGCTTTGCTCAAAATACAAAGCTTCGAAAACGTGACTAAGTCAAGTCTTGATTCCGTCTCCGTGTGCAGTGCGTCGAACAGTTTCTAAAAATGCAAAATAACATCAAAAATGATTTTGATCCGTCAGCTATTCGCAGACCTAAAGGTAGATTATTAGATTGTTGTTGGTTTTTCCCCGCATAATAAACTGTTTTTTTTTTGTTTCTCGCGCAACCTCAGCCGGAATAAACGAGATCCTGCGGGATGTGCTGGCACTCTGCCACCGAGAGGGATTGCTAAGCGTGGATGGTGTCGTATCGTCCGATACGGTATTCCGCCGCTTTTCTTCGGAGGTGTTCCGGCAGCATAAGCAGGATGTACGGTTGCGCGAGTTTCAAATGCTAATGAGCAGGTCCAATGTGGTGTTGGAAGTTATTAACAACCACAAAGAGTACCGAATCCAATTGCAGAAAATTATCACCGAACAGGAGCCGTCTAAGGGGAAACAGAATGTAAAAGGTTGATTTAGAAATACAATTATTAAGCATTTTTTCCCCAAATTCCTACATTAAATTGTGTTTTAGCTCCTGAGCAGAATATCCGGAACTTCGATATGAGCCCCCTGTTATCGAGTTTACAGGACTATTCGCTTGTCCGCGACGAACAGTACCCAGAACCGATCAAAATCGGCGCTGATATAAACTACGTCATTACTGTTAGTCGACCCATGAATCCAGCCTCTCTGGTGCAAGGTTACGGCTGTCTGATATGTCGAGAGAATTTCCGCAGCGCAATGGCATATCTTTATCACATCGCAACACACGGATCAACACTGACCATTCAGGTGGGAGAAACACTCCGTCGTACTAAAAGTTTCCTTAAAGTGACATTCTGCTATAAGGAACACCAAGTGATGTCCACCCTTGAAATGCACAACCGAGAGGGTTCTGCACTCATAATCAACGGTGTCTACCTCTATCACAAGAACTTCGAGCTGTTTCCAATCGTTTTACAATCAGTCAAGCTGGAACCAGGGAAAAGCCTAGAGTTTTCCATTCAGAGCCGAATGTTCGTAAAATCACGTGACATGTATTCACTGCTGATAATGTACCGCCGTTCCAGGGAGCAGTGCGATCTTCTAGAACAGCACTACATACGGGTTTTTGAGATCAAAAAGATCGATTCTAAACCGATTAGGCCGGGTTTCCTTGGAGATTATCTTCCTTCGAAGAATATCTGTACGTTGGTGGCAAACAATTTCCAAATCGTTTCATCCTACACGCCTGAGCAGAAGAAGTTGCATGATACCATTCGGTAAGTTGAGTTGAGATTATGCCGCCATGGAATATGCAGATATTTCCCTTTTTTCTCCAAACCTAGAAATTACTTCCACGCCGATCCGCGGACCCGCTTGAACGCATCCAACTATTGTTCTATGCTGGAACTGATGGTCCACATACAAGACCTCAACATCCAATGTGACTTGGCACAGTACCGAGCTGATGATGCAAGAATCGTCCCAACGCAAATGCCACGAATGTATCGTATCGATACAGCGCAGTTCATTTCTCTTCCGCTGAATCTCGCTGAAGGTGACATCATTCAGCTGACCATGCCTAATTCAAATGGCGGTGCTGCAACGACAGTGCAGGGCACCATAGGCCAGATCCTGTACGACCATATACTCGTTGAAATGGAAGTCAAGCTTCAGGCAAACTGTCGATGTCAGGTGAAGCTACAGGCCAATCGAGTTGTTTGCCGGCTGGAACTGCAGGCTCTCGCCATTGTACGACAGCAGGAATTAGCACCCCTGTTCTTCCCTAGTGAAGTACCGAACCTGATGCAACAGAGTGTTGAAATGATGTAAGTACGCAAGCAATAATTGGTTTGTGAATTTTGGCATTTCTTCGAAACTTTAAACTTGGGCATTATTAGGGTGGGCCAAGTTAAGGCGGATTAAAACTTACAATCACCCACTGCTTTTTCGATTTGTATTGAGGTCCCCAACGGATTTACCAAACTTGAACGAATATTGATGCTATTTGGATTTGTAATTCAGTTTATTTGCAAAGGAGCAATATCCGTCTACAATTTACAACTCAATTCAAATTAGCCAAAAGCTATATATGTATTTTTTTTTCAACTGCTCAGAATTAAATAAGACACATTTTTTACCCTTTTATCGTTTAAACAATATACGATTATTTTTTGTAGGTCGTCTGTATGTGTATCATATAAAACAAAATTGAACTTAAAACCCTCACTGTTCGAACCAGTAGCATGAATCGTTCCTATGATTATCATTCCCGAATTCCGTACTCTTTCAATAAACTTTGTACTCATTTGACACGCAATTGTTCCCTAACTTGCAGCACATCCTGGATGAACCCCTGCATGGACAACACGGAGCAGCAAGCGGCCGTCAAGAGTATTCTGAACCGGGTATCGCAGCCCTTACCTTACATACTGTTTGGGCCACCGGGTACCGGTAAAACGACCACAGTCGTCGAAGCCATCGTCCAAATCTGCACTCACCATCCAAAAACGCACATTCTGGTGACGGCTCAGTCCAACTCGGCTTGCGATGAAGTTGCGCTACGCCTGATGAAGTTCTTGACCCCGAATGATCTGTATCGATTTTACTCTCGCTCCAGTGAAAAGCGCCTCGACGAAATCCCGGAAAAGCTGCAGTATATTTCGAATCTTTCCGGTGGTAAACATAGCTGGCCGACTTGGGAGAATGTATACCAAACTAAAGTGTTGATCTGCAGTTTATCCATCTGTGGACGTTTGGTGCAGAGTAAAATTCGTAACAATCACTTCAAGTATGTTTTCATCGACGAGTGCGGAAGTGCGTCGGAGCCAGCAGCGTTGGTAGCGCTGGCTGGTCTTGTAAGTTCCAAGGGCAAACTTAACGCTAGCGTTGTCCTGGCTGGAGATCCTTATCAACTTGGTCCAGTAGTTCGGAGCGAGTTGGCTATGAAAATGGGTCTCGGTATGTCTATGCTGGAGCGGTTGATGAAACTACCCGTTTACCAGAAAGATCCCGAAACGAAGCAGTACAATCCTCAGTTGATAACGAAACTGGTGAGGAACTACCGTTCGCATGAAGCGTTGATTAAGTTTTCCAACGACCAATTCTACGAGGGCGAGTTGCGTTGCTTTGCATCAGAGGATGTCACCGTGGCGGAAAACTGGAAATGGTTACCGAATAAGAACTTCCCCATCATTTTGCATACCGTGTTTGGCTCGAATGAACGGTCAACGCAAAGCAAAAGCTTGATGAATCAAGCGGAAATTGATATGGTCGAGTTCTATTTAGATTTCCTGCTGAAAGCTGGCATCAACGATAGAACAATCTACCAGGAGGACATCGGAATAATATCCCCCTATCAGCTGCAGGTTCAACGATTGAGGCATATGTGTCTGAAGAAGGAATGGCCATCCGTTGAGATTGGCTCTGTCGAACAGTTTCAAGGACGCGAGAAGCTTGTGATTATACTGTCCACGGCTCGCTCCCACACGCCAGACGTGGGCTTCCTGAACAACGTGAAACGACTCAATGTGGCTCTGACCAGGGCGAAAGCTCTTCTGATAATCTTTTTTTTTTTTTTTTTTTTTTAGTCTTTATTATAGAGATTTTTAGCCTGGGGCTAGTTCATCTCTTTAGTCATAGACTTCTGATAATCGTCGGAAATAGCAAAACACTGCAGACGGATACGAATTGGTACGAGTTCATCAAGTATTGCAAAACGAACGAAGCCGTTGCGGGCAGATGTTTCGGTTTGGATACGAAGCGGATCGTGGAACGTACCAAACGCGATGCGATGTTCGATGCACTGTTTAATGTTCTTGTGTAAGCTTTGTGTATCGCTAGTCTATCGATAACTTTTTATTATGCATTGCTGTGTTAGTTGAACATTCCTGTTTTTTTCTCAATCCTTTTTTTGTAATTTGTCGTTGACAGTGATGCGAAGCAATACTTCATTTTTAAATATATGTAGTCGCAATCGGATATGACGCCTATTAAATTCTTATCCCTATCATAGACGTCCGCTGGATTTTTTCTGACCTCATGCCCGCGCATTGATAAAAAACAGGTTGAACAAGACATTGATAAAAACCGTCAATGGCTAAGAATGCACTAAGGCGATAAGTAATTGGTAAATTAATCTTATCGCTGTGCAGGATGCACTTGAAAGTTTAATCAGAAACGTGCAAGCTGAAAACATATGGTAGGGTACGATGGAGTGAAAAAAAAACAAGCATTGGATTGTGCAAATTTTGAATATTATTGTTGGGCAAAGTCGGATGTTTAACAATAACTAAAGGCGAGATTTATCGAGCGACGTTTTTTTAATTGTGGTTCAATTACACGTTTTTAGAAGAATGACTCTAAATAAACAAGGTTGCATCATGCGTTTTTCAAAAGAACATAGTTCGTTTTCCTCTCTACGTTGCCGTTATGCCGATGTAGAAGGCATGTCGTGTACTTTCCAACACTCCTCACCATGTGCCGCCGGTGTCCCATGTTTGTGACAGTCCCAGCAATCCTGATAATTTCTTGAGTTTTTTAGTTCCAACTGGCTTCATGTTAGCCACCGTTTCGGTGGGACAATATTCAAGTCAAGGCTAATTTTATGACAGTCAAATTTCACACAATTTTACCATTCAGTGCGTCAGAGTATCCTTTCGAGTTGGCAAACCGATTGGGACAATGGAAATCTTGGACGGTGTTTACATTCAATTAAAGGGCGAACACGAAATTATTGCGACACCGAAAATGTCATGCCAATTTTCTTATAATGTTTAGAATCAAACCAAAATTTTAGGGTAGTTTTATACATATATTTACTTCAAAAATCAAAAGAAAAGTTAATCGATGGAGCCTTGAGTGTAAAATTGAACGCATTTTCGCTTGATGCCCTCCATAAAAGTCTTTACAGTGTCATCCGGTACCAGTTTCTCAGTTTTTTTTTACATTTTCTTAACATGTCCTTCTCGTCTTTGACTGTCTTCTTGCTCTTCCGAAGTTCCCGTTTCATTATTGCCCAGTACTGCTCCACCGGGCGCAGCTCCGGACAGTTCGGCGGATTCATGTCCTTTGGAACAAAATGGACAGAATTGGCCTCATACCACTCCAGGACACTTTTAGAATAGCGGCATGATGCCAAATCTGGCCAAAATAGCGGAGCTTCGTCGTGCTGCTGCAAGAACGGCAAAAGGCGCTTCTCGAGGCACTCAGATTTGTAGATCTCGCTATTTACTGTGCCCTTTGTCACGAAAGGCTCACTCCTCAGTCCGCAAGAGCAGATGGCCTGCCAAATGAGATATTTGGAGGCGAACTTCGACATTTTCTTCTTCTTAAATTTGTCGTCCACATCGAACTTGCTCTTGCCGGTGAAAAACTCCAACCCCGGAATTTGCTTAAAATCGGCTTTTATATACGTTTCGTCGTCCATCACACAGCAGCCATATTTTGTCAGCATCTTCTCGTAGAGCTTCCGTGCCCGAGTTTTAGCCGTCGATTGTTGCCGCTCATCGCGGTTTGGGAAGTTCTGTACCTTGTATGTATGTAGTCCAGCTCTCTTCTTTGCATTCTGGACGTAGCTCTGCGACATGCCGATCTTTTTAGCCAAATCACGGCTTGAGACGTTGGGATTTGCTTTACTCATCCGCTTCACCTTTCCCACCGTCTTTTTGTTCTCCGGTCCTGGTTTTCTTCCAGCTCCTTTGCCGTGGTCCAACGTCAACCGCTCCTGGAACCGCTTCAACACTCTGGAGACGGTTGAATGGTGAATGTTCAACATTTTTCCCAACTGCCGGTGCGACAGGTCAGGAAATTCCAGGTGTTTGGAAAGAATTTGTTCTCTCAACTCGCGTTGGTTCACCTCCATTTTCGTTGAATCGAAAAACACGACTTCGAGTTTGACAGCATGTACACAATACACATCAATGAGAAAGTGTGCAAAATTTGGTTGATTTTTACCCAATGGTAAAAAAGTTATGCCCTGTTGAATATGTGGCAATAATTTCGTGTTCGCCCTTTAGACTTATGTCCAACCACTACTCGCTAGATGCGCATCTCAATAGAGTAAACCTCGTGGACAGCAACATCTGTCGGTGTGGATCACGCATAATGACGCCGCCAGAGAGCGACTTTTGAAAACCCTCGAGGCCCAAGGAAGGCAACCCTGTATCCTAATCCGTTGGGACCTCGCGATATCTGCTATATGCAGTCGATAAATGTGTTTCTGCAAATGTCTAGTATAAGAATTCAATTCATTTGTCTTTGGTCTCTCTTTAGTAGTTTTTGTTTGTCTTGTTCCCCCGTCTCGATGAGCCTCGTCGTCGCCCACTGGTCACCATAGCCGTTCGAACTCCAGACGAAACTAGAACCGCACTACCGTTCATACTGGCGACAACGCTTTGATGAGACAACGAAACTATGAGATGGATAATAACTAGGTAGGTCATGACCTTTCATACACTTTTCCTGACAGTTGGTAAAAGGTCATTTGGATTCAAGCTGCTGCACGGGTAAGTTGGACATTGATAAGCTGCGTCGTGGGTGATTTGCCCATAATTAATATCGGCAGATTTTCACATTTCTGGCGATCATGCCAGGAGACGAACCTGGAATCTTGGAGACCCCCGATAGGTAATAAAAGGGCAAATCACCCACTTGCAAGGAAAATAGGATAAGAACGCGACTACTGAACGCCGTTCTGAATGCGAGTGAGGACGGATTTGCAAAAATCGTCTCCTCGCCGTGGCAAAGCCACAGGAGAGAACGCGACCGGGACGGCCGTTCTGATAAAACGAGTGAGTCCTTCTTAATGCTGCTAACAGAATTGTGAAGGTAACCACGCCGGAGGTAACGAAGCCCTCGACGGAGCCAATCTGAATCGCGGTATTTATAAACGCGATCGGAACCGCCAGCAGGGGATAAGTATGCAACTCCGGCAAAACCAAGTAAGGAGGAAAGTTATGAAGCAACAACAAGCAAATGCAAAGAGAAGGTAGTAATCAAGCGTTGACAACCGGTATCTAGATCCTAGATACGCATTTGCATGCTGCTGGAAATTATTTAATGGACGATGAGGATCAACGGATTAAAAGTAAATAGTTGAGAGCCATGAGAATGAAGAAGAGCAGCACTATTTATTTTTGTGTTGTTATTGAACAATCTCAGTGATTTCCAGGATCTCCTGTTTATTTCTTAGGCTGTTCAAAAGTTCAAAACCATGGACGCAGTCGATTGACTCCCCCAAACATGTTTAGCAAACATAGATGAATTCAGTACCCAAAAGTGAAGGCTAACACTAAGAAGCAACTGAAGGTCTATTGCTGCTTCTACTATCGCCAGTGGGAATTTTAGGTCGAATCCTTCTTGATTTCTACGTTGTAGCATTGTCCGGGTACCATGATGATAATGTAGAGGTACATTTTCCACTAGCCGGGTGGGTCATAAGTACAAGTTTCGGCAAACGTCTACCAGAATGAGACACGGTAAAGAATTTCTTGTCCTGGATGGAGAGCTTCTGCCATCACTCACCCTTCTCCTTCTCGTGGGGGAGTTGAGCTTAATGGTTGGCAACGGTCAGCGTATACTGGCTAACAGTTCCAGCAGTGGCGCGATCTCGCGCTTATCAATCTTATCATCGTTAAAGCAAGAGGAATGAATATTGAATAAAAAAAAACTTTTATAACTGTTAAACTGAAGGAGAGGGAAGATATGATATGGATAATAACTAGGTAGGTCATGACCTTTCATACACATTTCCTGACAGTTGGTAAAAGGTCATTTGGATTCAAGCTGCTGCACGGTTAAGTTGGACATTGATAAGCTGCGTCGTGGGTGATGTGCCCATAATTAATGGGCCTTATTACGGGTGTCACTACACGGTGATAAGGAAGTGATATTGAGAATAAGAGCCGTGATTGCCGTACAAATCAAATGGGAATCACTTCACCGTGACGACAAGTGACAACTTTTCACCGTGAAGTGACATGCGTAATAAGGCCCAATATCGGCGGATTTTCACAGAAACCTCACCCTCAAGCTTCTCCCCTGATCCTATCCTTCGACAATGTACCCCTCTAACCTCGGGTAAGCCGCGAGTATTCGGCCCAACTCCGATTAGACATAGAATTAAGTGAATTTTGTTACAAACAGAACAATGAACTATCGGCTCCGTTAAGCTAACGCGATTGAGCCTTCCAAATAAACGAACTAGTTAAAAAAAAGTCGCATAGATCCCGGACGCACAACTCTCGAACATACCTCTCCTTTGTCTCAATATACTTTGAGGCTTATTCGATTTGATTGCACAAACTGGATGCATCCTTGATTATCCTCCATAATACATGTCGGTCCATCCAAAGTTTCACCTATGTCACCAAGTAGTTTTCTCAACCAGACAACCTATTGACGGGCCTGTCCAAGCGCCACGTAGTATCGCTCTTGTACACTAGCTTAGCACCTTTCGTTGATTTTAGGTAACGAAGCAGCTGCTACCCAATCGTTTTCAGTAGGAGCACACACCTTACGACCAAGTATAGACGCTATATCTGGGCGAACACACACAGCGGCGTAAAGTAGGGCACCTACGAGCCTCCGA